TAAGCTGAGTTTAGGGGGGTTAAGCTGAGCTTTTGGGCGTGGTTTTTGGGGTCCCCCCTGCCGAGGATGAGGCGATACCGCCCCAGACTGAGCCCTGTGACTGAGTGGTTCCTTCTGAGGCTCGGGGGGTCCCCAAAAGGGATTTGGGGAGGTTTTGGGGGGCTCCAAGGGATGTTTAAAATTTTGGAGTGGTCATGAGTGGGTGGAAAGGGGATTTGGGGCTGTCTAAAAGGTTTTAAAGACCTCACTCACTTTAAACCACATTTTTTTCTTACAGTTCCTGGACCAGAAAGCATTTTATTAAATAAAGATCCTATTTTTTTATTGAATAAAAAAGCTAATTTTTGTTAAAAACGTGGATTTTCTCATTATTTATGGAAGGGATGAACTTGAGCGGGGGTTATTTGTAAAATGTTGGGGTTGGCGGGAAAATTATGGGACAAATCTGGAAAATCCCACCCAAAATCCAACCCAAGCCCATTCCCACCTGAACACCTCCAGGGATGGAGAATTTTAAACATTTCCACAGAAAATTCCTCCTGATGTCCCCCCCAGACCTTTTCCCAACCCCTCCATGTCCTTGGCAGGGCCCAGAACTGACCCCAAATACCAAATTTGGGGATTTTGAAGCCGTTTTGAACAGGATGCGGCAATTTTAGGGGGTTTTTTGGGGTGTGTTTGTGTTGCCCGAGGTGTCCCCATTTCCCTCCTGTCAACCTCACAGAGGCATCCCAAATACCCCCCCAAAAACCCCGAATTCTAAAAAATCCCTGAGGGGGGATGGAGGGATCCCAAATTCCCCCAAAAAATAAATCCCGCGGGATGAGGGAGTGACCCAAATTCCCCCAAAATAATCGGGGGGTGGGGAAGGAGAGACCCCCAAATCCCCCCGCACCGAGGGGCGGAGCCAATCATAGAATATGCAAATTAAGGGGCGTGTTATGCTAATCAAGCCAGCATCGCTAACGGCAGGCGGGCGTGATTGACAGGCGGGGTTATGCAAATTTTAAAACGAAAGGGGGGCGAAGGGCATTGTGGGACAGATTTTTAGGGCATTTTCGGGGTGTTTTGGGGTTCTCCGCGCACGGAGCGCGGGCGGAACGCGCGGAAGGAGCTGAGGAAGCGATCCCGGAGCGGGTGCGGAAGGAGAGACCCCCAAATCCCCCCGCACCGAGGGGCGGAGCCAATCACAGAATATGCAAATTAAGGGGCGTGTTATGCTAATCAAGCTCACATCGCTAACGCCCGGCGGGCGTGATTGACAGGCGGGGTTATGCAAATTTCCTCCACACTATGAGCGAAGGGCATGCTGGGACAGAATTTTAGGGCATTTTTGGGGTTTTTTGGGATTTCCGCGCACGGAGCGCGGGCGGAACGCGCGGGAGATGCTGAGAAAATGATCCCGGTTTAGGATCGGGATTTGGAGGCGGTACCGGGGGTCACCGTGAGTTACGAGCGGAGCGGGCGGCACCGGGCACGGAGCGGGATTTAATCCCGGTATCGCTTCTCGGCCTTTTGGCTAAGATCAAGTGTAGTATCTGTTCTTATCAGTTTAATATCTGATACGTCCTCGATGAGAGGACTTCATATTAAACGGATTTTTGGGCTCGGGAGTTGGACCCGGAGCTTGCTCCCTCCGCTCCGCGCATCGTCCCGGTACTGCAGCGCCTCCGGGAACGGTGCACCCCGCACGGGGAACTTTATTGGTAAAAAATAGATCGAGATTAACTAAAAACCGGGATTATACCGGGATATCTGACCTAACTCTGTACCGGAGATCGCCTCTGTCTCCGCTCCGTGCATCGTCCCGGTATTGCAGTGCCTCCGGGAACGGTGCACCCCCAACGGGGACATTTTATTGGTGAAAAATAGATTTAAATATGATAAAAATCAAAGTCTAAATTAATGAGATGGCGATTTATATCGCGATATCAATCGCGATTCTGTAATACGGTGTCACTCCCGGAGCTCGCTTATGTCTTCGTTCTGCTCCGCGCATCGTCCCGGTATTGCAGTGCCTCCGGGAACGGTGCACCCCCAACGGGGACCTTTATTGGTGAAAAATAGACCGAAACTAAATAAAAACCGGGATTATATCGCGATATAAAACATGGCTTTGTTCTGGGGTTCGCTTCTGATTCCGCTCCGCACATCGTCCCGGTATTGCAGCGCCTCCGGGAACGGTGCACCCCACACGGGGACCTTTATTGGTGAAAAAATAGAATAAAAATTAACAGAAATAATAAAAATCAAAATTTAAATTTATTCTATCGCGATATTGAATACGCTTTTGTAACTTCTTATCACTCGCGGAGTTCACTTCTCTCCACTCCGCGCATCGTCCCGGTATCGCAGCGCCTCCGGGGGAACTTTATTTGGTAAAAAATAGATATAAAATAAATTGAAATAATGGATTTTATTGCGGT